CCATTTTTAAAAATTGTTAATACTAGCCCTGGGGGCGAAGATGGCACTAGTGTTTCATGTATATGTAATTGTATCTTAGATTTATGTTGTGTAGATTGGATGTTTGTTTAATAAAACAATTTAAAAAAATTTTTTTTTCCTATTTTTTTCCAAAGCCGTTTTTTGGGTTTTTTTTTCCAGGGGAAAAAGATTTAAAACAAGAACCCATGGACTGTGGAAATACTAGCCCTGGGGGCGAAGATGGCACTAGTGTTTCATGTATATGTAATTGTATCTTAGATTTATGTTGTGTAGATTGGATGTTTGTTTAATAAAACAATTTAAAAAAATTTTTTTTTCCTATTTTTTTCCAAAGCCGTTTTTTGGGTTTTTTTTTCCAGGGGAAAAAGATTTAAAACAAGAACCCATGGACTGTGGAATCTGTCTATGGCATGGTATTCAAACTACATAAAATGAAGACCTTCATGAAAGGCTTCTGAGACTTCATGTCTTTAAGTTCTCTGGGAACTCCTGGTCGGGCTGAGTGGCTGCCCCAGCCTTTTCGGGCGGGGGGAGGGCGAGGGATGCACAAAGGGGATTGCACGCCAACCAGGTCAGGGGACCTTCCCAGAAATGAAACCCAGGCGCTTCCATCCATAAAATCTTTTTATTGATAATTTAAGGGTTAAAACTCTTTCTGGCTCTCCCTCCCCAAGACCTCGCTCCAGGGAAGAAAGGGGTCTCTACAGGCCACCAGGTCCTTCGCTTAGGGTTCCACAACACAGAACAAGGGTTGCCTTTCCTTCTGTTGCGACTAAACGGGGCAAACATCTGGCTGGGAGGCAGGACCCACCCCCACCCCCGAGGAGAGGTCAGAGAGTGGGGCAAAGCAGGGGCCAGGGAGAAGAGGGGTGGCCGGGTGGGTTTCTAGCACAGAGACCTCAGCAGACCCAGGGAGGAAAGGGGTTGTGGGGCAGCTTCCTAGGGAAGAGAAGGGGCCTCGCTCGCTGCCTTGCCATGGCAAGAGTGGGGTGAGGAGAGGGTCTCCTTGGGGGGGGGGTGTCTGGGCCACAACAAGCCCCTCCATTCCCAGGCAGCCACCCACCCACCGCCGAAGCAGAAGCTCTTCTCCCCTTCCCAAAGAGCCGGGGGGGGGAGCCCTGAACGTCCAAGGCCCAAGACGGGGCAGGCTCCCTAGAGCTTCAGAGAGCACCCGCCCCACGGCAGCCTCCCCGGGGAGGGCCCCCCTGCCAAGGTCGGGGAGGGGGGCTACAAGTCTATGGTGTCGCTGCTGACGCTGAGCGTGTCGATCTGCCGACAAACGTCCAGGAACTGCTCCTGCAGGAGGGCCGCGTCTGTTCCCTGGGGCGCCGGCGGGGGCGGCGGCCGCCCCACCGAGGCCAAGGACTCCTGCGAGACGGGGGTCANCCCCGGGGAAGAGAGGGTGGTGTTGGGGGCGCTGGTCTCCGGAGAGGCCTCCCCGGCCGCCAGGGAGGACCGGGCGGGCACCAGCTCGGCGCAGGAGGCCGTGCGGGACAGGTGGCTCCCCAGCGAGGAGGAGGAGGAGGGCGGCTCCCGGGTCAGGCTGAAGGAGAAGGTGCTGGAGGCGTACAGGGCGCTGCCCTCCTGGAAGAGGCCCTCGCTGCACAGCGCCTCGTCGATGCTGCGCCGCAGGTCGATGGGCG